AAAAGTATTTTCCCTTTTTCTTTTCTTTTTTTTTTTTTTTTTGTTTTGTCTTTCACTTCCTCTTCGTCTTTTTTCCAGGGGGTTTCTTTCACCGCCTGATTTTTTTTTTTTTGTATTCACTCTCGACCGCTTTTCTTAATTTCTTAAACACTTTTCAAAGGTATTTCTTTACGGACCGACTTTGAAATCCATACGATAGTTAGCCTCATTAACAAATCGTGTTTTCCCTACTCCTACTCGGAAGACATTCCACTATTTGCGTCTACCTCTGTACGCGCGTGTCTGTTAGGATATGTGCCTGCGTGTGCGGGTATGTGTGCCTGTGCGTGCATGTGTGATATGCATAATTTAGTACAGACATTTGTCGCAGCCGTTTGTGAGCAGTATCTACTAGGGTGGGCTGAAATTTTCAAAGGCTGACAAGGAAAGTGTGATGCTAGAAATGTGAAATCTTGTATGCTTTGTTTCCAGATCTTCTTAATAACTGTATTGTTTCTTTACATGTTCGAGGATGGGCTGAAAATTTTATAGGCTGACTAGGAAGGAGTGATGCTAGAGCTGTGAAATCTTGTATGCGTTCATTTAAACTCTTCTTATTAATAACTGCATTGTTTCATTCCACGTAAGATGGTAGGCTGAAAATTTTATAGGCTGACTAGGAAGAAGTGAAATCTTGTATGCATTCATTTCAACTCTTCAAACTGCATTGTTTCTTTCCAGGTACGAGGGTGGGCTGAAAAGTTCATAGGCTGACTAGGAAGGATTGATGCTAGAACTGTGAAATCATGCATGCATTGATTTCAGCTCTTATTAATAACTATTGTTTTTTTCCAGGTAAGACATTTTTGCATCTAACAGCTAACCATTTCAACAGTAAAATGATGCGACCTATCCGCCAATCTAGTGATGCGCTTAAATTCGTAAAGTACCATAGAGGAAATACCTGCCGTATTTTTCAACAACGCCGTCCGAACTGGCTGCAAAATTGGCTCAATCCAACAAGTTCTGCTCACAATTCGATTTACGTGATTGGATCAGGCTCCTCATTGACAATCGGGCGAATTCATCCGTGAGGCGATTGCCGTGGACCCCCGCCACATGGTTAGCGGATTCTGCGTTATGGACATCTCAAAACGTGACTTAGGACGGTTAAAAAGGAAATCGAAACTGTGGGTCCGCGCGTGTTTTGGACGCGCCATCTAAACCGTAATCGCTAAGCTCCTACTGACTCAATTACACCCGATCCCCGAGCTTGGTCACCTTTCTGTGGAGATGCGGCAAATTTGTTTGACGGAGCCGGCTCAAACGACCCCGGTTGAATGACACAAGCCCAAGTAATTAGCAGGTATTTTTCAATAGATTGTGCTTATTTTAATATGTTTATCTTCAATATGCATGTATTTGTATCTGTATATATGAAGCTCTAACTTCGTTCAAAGATTGCCTTAAACAGTCACTATACATCAACGCTGCCTTCGGTCTGTTCTTGAAATCCACTCCATGTCTCACACCCGTGATACTGTTGTTATACAATGGATCGACTATCAGGGTCATGTAAGGCTTTTGGATTGTCCATCAGAATTGACAAGACAGTGGTGATATATCAACCATCCAGAGGAATTCAGTATATAGAGTCATCCATCAATGTTCGTAGTCGGCTTGGGTTAGTAGACAAATATGTATACTTGACGATGTGATAGCTTTACGGATTAAGAAGGCCCCCTGATGCATTTGCAGCAATCAATGTCCGTGTCTGGTGTCAGAAAGGCATAAAATGCAGACAAAAATTAAAATATATAATGTCTGCTTTATGTCATCTCTGCTCTATTCATGTGAGACAATGGTATTCTATCGCAGACATCAGAAGATAATGGAACATTTTCATTAACGTTGCCTTCGGTCTGTGCTTGAAATCCACTGGATGTCTTACACCCCAGATACTGTTATTCTACAAAGAGCCAATTCACTCTCTGTGGAACCAATTCTACACAAATACAGATTACGATGGACAGGCGACGTTATTCGTATGGCAGATGACAGAATTCCAAAACAATTAATGCATGGACAATTGGAAATGGGAAAAAGACCGCATCACAAGCCGAAACTTGGTTACAAAAGATTGCCTTAAAGAGTCCTTATACATGTGCAATATTGATCTGGATAACTGGGAGACTATTGCTGAAGACAAGGTTTCTTGGAGATTTGGTATTGCTAATGGCATCAAGGTCTTCCATGAGGAATCAAAAATTATGTAGAACTGAAGGGAGGTGTTCGGAAGGGATCCTTGAATTGCCATGAGGTGCCAACCTGGCCATGTGACCAATGCAATCGGATATATCTGTCCAGGGCGGGTCTGCTCAGTCACCAGAAATCACACCAACACCAACAGTCTATTTTATATAACGATTTCGTAATGGCATGCTTTGAATGCCCGACCTGCACTAGAGTGTGCAAGTCTAGGTAGGGCCTGACAAGGCATATGAAAGGGCACACTGGAAATGATGATGATCGTAGTCTCCTTCGTTATAGCCATACTCATTCTGTGAGTCGCCAGCCACCATATATATATATATATATATATATATATATATATATATATATATTTTTTTTTTATAAAAATCAGATGAACGAAAATTATAAACAGGATGAATTCAGAATTAAGAACATTATAAAAAAATGCATAACACCAGTTGACAATAGCAAAAAAATTAGATTAATTATTTATTACAAAACATTTAAAACCTCTAACCTTAAAGTTAAAAATAATAATTCACCTCCTAGAACAAAATAAATAGGGCAAATATTATTTACAAATTTAAATGTCCATTAAAGAATTGTATTTCTGATCAATCAAAATTCGTAAATAATTATAAAGGCCACACTACAACATGTTTGACACGCAGACTCACTCTACACCTTTCTAACCATAGCTCAATTAGATCTCATTTAAATATTCATGGAGACCTACCGGACACTATTCGTAACATAATTGTTGACAACACAAATATAATAGTATCATCTACATGCAAAAAAAAAAAAAAGCTAAAAATAAAAAAAACAAAAAAAACAACACTTAATAATATTAACTTTGAACATGGACACAATATATTGACCATGTTTTGAAAAATTAAAGCATTTTATAAAACATACATACAACAAACTATTTTTTATTTAACAGTTAAAATATTTAATCCTTGAAAATGGCTAATTGTATAGCCGAAAGCGCTCAGATAAAAAAAAAAACATTCGGACAGTTTTTATATAATTCATCATCCGAAAAGAAAAAAAATTATTAGATCGCATGAGAAATTGTATAAAAAACTAAATAAAAGCACCTTGTCTGTCGTATTCAATGAAATATGCATGAAAGAAGGATTGCTGCCTAAATACAAAATATATATATATATATATATATATATATATATATATATATATATATATATACTGTTTATTCTTTATTTTTTCTAAACAGTTTATTTAAGTAAATGCTCATTTTTTTTTAATTAAATTGTCCGATTTAATTTATTTGATTATATGTTGTCATTGTTTACGTTAAAATACGTTTCATGAGCAGAAATGATCGATCGAGAAAAATCGTCGAAGATTGTGTGTTTAAAAACAGTAATTTTGAATTTGCTAACCAGACGCTTCTCTGTAGCTGAATGGTACAGCACGTCAGATCAAATGACGATTTCCGTATAGGAATACAGGTTCGGATCCTATCGGCGAGCGCTTATTTTCTATGAAATTTCTCAAATATTCGAATATAATTAATTCTGTTTAATTAAAAAAAAAAACAGGGCATTTAGTTAAAAAAAATTGTATCTATAAAATTATTATATAAACAGAAAATATATTAAATAATTGTCGGACTTAATCTATTTCATAATATATTCAGCTCCTTAGAGCGACTCAAGCCAGGATCGACACCCGACTGATTTTATGTCAGTCGGAGTATTTACCACTAAGCCATAAACGAACGGCAGGGGAAAAAAACTAATGTAAACAAACGCCAGTCAGCCAGGGTGCTCTTAATCATTTTACCGAAGAGCTTTGCTTTTTAGCGTAGGCGGCTGCAGTTTGTAGAATTATCTCTCAAGAGTGTTCAATTAAAATATATTTTCAATGTGGGGTATATATATATATATATATATATATATATATATATATATATATATATATATATATGCGAGGTGTTGATGTAGCTCAAGTGAAGGGCTGGAGTTGTCAGTGATGGTCATACTCGCTTTGCCAGACGACACCCACCATGTTTGGATATAAAATAAATTTAATTATATGTCAGTATTTCGTGTCCACTGCAAACTTTTATATCGGGTCATTTTCTAAACACTGGCGTGTAGATGTTGGTGACGTCAAGATATGATAATGAATTTACATATTTTCCCGCATCATAAAATTTCGTTGAAAGAAGGAAAAAAAAGTCGATTGAAAAACATGGCAGAAGACAGAAAATTGGAGATGAAAAAAGTTATCACGCTTGAAGGTTAACGTGTGAATTCAAAACAAGTTAACCTTTTCTCCTTTTATACTTGGCTTTTCAAAATCTTTTAACAATATTATGTCTATCTATCTATCTATCTATCTATCTATCTATCTATCTATATGTCTATGTATATGTCTATCTACCTGTTCCATTCTGTTCATATCTATCTATCTATCTATCTATCTATCTATCTATCCTATTCCTGTTCAAAACACACACACACACACACACACACACACACACACACACACACTCTCTCTCTCTCTCTCTCTCTCTCTCTATCTATCTATCTATCTCGATCTGTTCGTATCTATCTATCTATCTATCCCATTCTGTTCATATCTATCTATTTATCTATCTATCCTGTTCAACACACACACACACACACACACACACACACACACACACACACACACACACACACACACACACACACACACACTCTCTCTCTCTCTCTCTCTCTCTCTATCTATCTATCTTTCTCTCTATCTATCTA